GACAACGAAGTTTTCCGATGTTAACAGAAATGAACCAAGAGAGGGAACCACAGATATTTGCAAAATTCGAGTGGTGTTGCTCGTCTCAGTTGTATCGGTCATATGCTCCCATTCTTGATATCTCAAATCCCTCTTAATGCTCACAATCCTACGGTTCAGGCTAATTATGAAACGTTGTTACCTCAAGTTTGATAGTTTGGGTTTGGGACTCTGAGCCAGGTTGGTCATGTCAGGCTGTTGGGGTTCCATGGGTTCCCGCTAAACGAAATAAACCAGCAAAACAAACTAAACCAACGTAATCAAAACAATCATAAGCATCTTAAAGAACAAGAGAATCACATTTAATTTATTGTTGGCCGTGCATATCCCGGAGAAAAAAACGATCATATTCTTCACCCACTACAGTATCCATTCACAAAGTTTTACCCAACGAATATCAACGAAGTCCCTTGGTGAAATGGTGATGTGGCTTGGCGGTGTGGAATCTTGAAATCCTACAAGCAAGCCCATCAGAAGGTAGAACAGCACAATTCGCAATTCACTGATTTTTGTTCACTACAGGATTCTACTGTTCCCCTCTATTGTTTTTCGGTTTCTATATGCTAACTTACTGAGAAGAAAACAGAGAAAATCATATGTTCAATGCCTGTCTTACTATCATGGAACAGATTCATTCACTGTACTAAACACATCTAAAAATCATCTATAAAACATCTATATATCGGATATGGTCTGCTAATTTCACTAACCTGAATAGTTCGGCCATTTGGATAGCTTCCCTTACTAACCAGGATTCCAGGCTTCGGGAGAACAGTGAGGTCGTGATCAAATTTACCCAGATCATTCACCCATGATACCTTGGTTGATGATACCTTGGTTGATGAAACATCTTCAAACAATTCGACTAACGTTAGAAATCAACATCGATATAAAACATCTATATGTGAAATCTTGGTTGATAAAACAGCTATAAAACATCTATAAATCAACCAATATCGGATATCTGGTTGGTGGTTTCAACATGTTTCAAGAAATATTAGTCAGATTGGATCATCATCCCAACTATTGGGGAAAATAAAATTCATGTTCCAAACCACCAACCAGTAGGTTCTTTCCGTTGGCCGCGGCTTCCCGCGGCTTGGACGCGCGCCGTCTGCAGCAAGTCTTCCAACGCTTGGCCGCAGGCGGCCAAGCGCTGCACGCGGCTCAGGGCGCTGCCTGGCATTCTGCCCAGGTCGTTGGCAGAAAAACCATGGGAAAACCATGGGAAAACCAGGAAAACCATAGGAAAACCCATGATTTCACCGGAAAACTATGGGAAAACCTAGGAAATGAGGATTTCACTAAGAAACATATGGGGATTTCATGGGATGTTGCGGATTGATGATAGCTCACTTGGTTGAGAAAACTCCACTGTTGGATTTATGGTAGATAAGTCGAACTAGTTACGATGGTTTATAAACCAACATAACTGGAGGGACACCACAGAAAATGAGGATTTTTAGCAGGAGAATTCATGGAGTTTTACATATGGATTCACATGGATTTTCATTGCATGTCATGATTAACATTCGAATTACCCTCTGGTTATTTAACGTAGCTAGAGAAAATCACAATTTTTAATAGGTAAACGATCTATAATGGGCCGTTTTCCACGGCTATGTTAAATAACCAGAGGGTATATGATATGGATGAAATGGTGGAGTACATCCTGGATGAATCTGATGGGTCAAAATCGGCCCTGGCTGTAGCTCAGCTCTCAAAATAGCTATACGATGATGCTGGGTGTTGATTCCACTATATAAGTTTGACATATTACATAGGGGGTTCAACAACATGACTAAACCCAAATACTATCTTAAAACATTACATTGGTTGTAGGTTTATTATAGGGATGTTGCATGTTTTTTTGCAGTGTTTATTGATATATTTACCCTGGTTGAGTGTTAGGGATTCGATCAGTTATATCCACAAAAAATATATCTAGAATGATGATCATTTCATATATATATATAATATCATAACAAACAGTTTTATCAGATCTTATCAGTTATATCCACTAAAAAAGGATCAGTTATTGACTTGTTACATCATTTGAACAAAAATATCACCATATGAGAGACCGTCCAGGTCTCTCCGCGCCTTTCGAACGGGGTTTTTTACCGACCATGCATGTTCCGGTCTGATATGAAAAGTTGCCACTGATAATTTCTCTGCCAATTTTGAGCTGGTTCAAATCATAAAAACCAAAGATCTCGAAAGATTTAAGATTAAAAATATCCACAAGTTAAGTCGCAGTAAACTACAGTAGCCTTCACCACTTCCCAGCGAAGCTCCCATTGCAAACTCAACACTGCAGCCAACAGGTGCACCTGTCACATCAGGCAGCAAGGACGTCGCGGACGTCATTTCACAGACCGATGCTGAAAGCTCAGCCGAAAGCCCACTGAATCATTCATCTAAAATATATCAAACAAGTTATGTAAAAACAGTGTTTCCATTGGTACCCAAAAAATAATAGAACAAACTGCCTACACTCGAGACTTGTGTTTTGTTGAGTCTTGAGTGTTGATCTGGTGTGATTCAGATTCCGAATGGTCCAGTTTCTGCCATGCATGGTATTATAGAAATTCCAAGAGAGATAGAGAAAAGTGGGAAACTGGGAAATTGATAATTGATATAGCAAATATCATTTGTGATTAGTAATATCATGGAAACACGTTTCTATCCTTTTGGGGGTGCTCTCTCTCTCTCTCTCTCCCCATCTTGGGGGTTGGTCTAGTTATGTTTGAACACCTGAGAATGATATGCTTCAAAATATATAGTTTTCAAAAAATCAGACCCCAAACCCTCCTGGGAAACATGCTCTTTGGATCTCTTTGGTATGAGTTGAATCAACAATCTGCTCTCGAGGCGGTGTCGGAAAACTGGATGTGGAACTGTTGAAACATCATCCAAAGTCTGGCTGAGGTATAGGAATTCATCCCAAAATAACTGGAATAAATTGAAATAAGTGCATGTGGGGATGATTCTCCTTACTAGCCATAATTCCAGTGACTAAGGTCCCGAGTTGGATGAAAATCCAATTCACTGAATGATTGCTAGCAACACAAACCTAAGATCTATGACGTATTTGGTCGTGGCAGGAGTCGCCCTACACCTTCCAGCCATAACATCGCGGCGCCTTTTTCCCAGCGGAAACATCTCCGGTGCTCCCCATGCGCTCGGCAGTGGGCACGGGAAAAAAACGTTTGTCAAATGATCTGCCAAAGTTGGGAGTTGCTGTCCATCTGCCTTGATCGCATCCACCTAACCCCGATCATAAGTGCAACTATGAAGCATATATACATATAAGTATATAATAAAAATAAAATTACTTTACTTCGAGTGATCCCCACCATGACATTTATACATTTAAAAATAGCAAATCTTCTGGCATTCGATCTGGCACTCTATCTGGCATATCTTCTGGCATTCCACCTGGTCATTGACAAATCTGTTGTTACATTACATAGCTGCCTTCTAACACTCTTTTTGTCTGTGACGTTGCTAGCCGGTCTGCCGCTTAACTCCGGAATGTCACCTGGCATTCTATCTGGCATATCTCATGGCATTTTATCTGGCATTCTATCTGGCATAGCTTCCGGCATTCTATCTGGCATATCTCATGGCATTTTATCTGGGATATCTTCTGGCATTCTATCTGGCATATCTTCTGACATTTTATCTGGCACATCTTCTGGCATTCTATCTGGCATATCTTCTGGCACATGTTCTGGCATATCTTCTGGCACATGTTCTGGCATATCTTCTGGCATATCTCATGGCATTTTATCTGGCATATCTTCTGGCATTCTCTGACATATCTTCTAACACTCTATCTGGCATATCTTCTGGTATTCTATCTGGCCGTTGAGGTCCAGCAGTGCACGCTGAGCTGGGAAGGTCCCAGTTTGAGGTCCAGCGGTGCACACTGAGCTGGGAAGGTCCTAGGTTGAGGTCCAGCGGTGCACACTGAGCTGGGAAGGTCCCAGGTTGAGGTCCAGCGGTGCACACTGAGCTGGGAAGGTCCCAGGTTGAGGTCCAGCGGTGCACACTGAGCTGGGAAGTTGGCAAAGAGCTTGGCGAAGAGTTGGCAAGGCGGAAGTTGAGGTGGAAGTTGATGCAGACATGGCCGAGGAGAAACTGGAGCAGGAGGCAGAGGAGGAGGAGAAGGCGGAGGACGAGGAGGAGGAGGAAGAGGAGGACGAGGAGGACAGCTAGCCGAGGAGGAGAACTCTGATAAAATCTAACAACCCTCACCTGGCAGGTGGGGAATAAGGCATTTTGTACGGACACTTTTTTTTTGCGAGGAATCTACAATGGTTCTGGGATATTAGGGTTTCACATCTTTCGCAGATCACCAGACTATGATCTCAATGGATGTATGCGGTAAAACAACGCTGCTTTCCAATGATAAAAAGCCAAATGGTCAATTTCCTAAATAGATCTAAATAGAGTGTTCCCATGGTTCATAATGGCTCATAAAATAAATCAGTAATCCCTTCCTCCTAATACTAAACGTCCCCCAAATACTAAAAACAGGCGTCCATCTCCAGTTTCAGAAAAATTAAGATTGGCCAATTTGACTTTTAATTGATCCCCTTTGGAAAACAATTTAAAAATCAAGCTACCATTTGTGGGTTTTCCCCCCTAATACTAAAAACTAGTCAACCCCGGGGTGTTTATTATTAGGGTCCGTCCGATTTTTTTTAAGCTTTTATATTAGAGCTTTTAATTTAGTATTAGGGGGAAGCTTCGAAATCCAAGTTTTGGTAATATTTTAATTGCGTTATATAAAGAAATTTAATTGATTTTGAGATCGGAAAAAATGGGGTTCCCTGATAATAAATACCCCCCCAAAACTAAAACCTACCTGCCGTGTTTATTAATAGGGGGGGCGTTTAATATTAGGAGGAAGGGATTAAAAATAATTAGTTTTTTCAACAATGAACCATGATGAAGTGAGAAAGCATGATGAACCATGGTCCCATCAAATCTTCAACCAAATCCATGGTGAAGCTCATGGTTCCCAATTCTCCACCTCATCGAAATATGCGAAGATGGCCACCATCCATTTGCAGAGGCAAATGGCCGCAGTGCTTTCCACACTTTTCGCCACCACTTCCGGCAGGAAGTGCCAGGGCAGGCTGTTCTTCACCGCGCGCGCGGATTCCACATTCTGCTCCGGCAGCTTGCCTTCATCAATCCAGGAGAGCACCTGAGATCAGTTTGCTGACCGAATTTCGCAGATGTTAGCATATGGAACTTCAAAAATGTGGATTTTGGAATTTGGAAAATCAGGTCCCTCATACATACTCATACAGCCATATTGCAATAGGGAACTGATTTTCCAAATCACATTTTTGGAGTTCCATGTTACATTTGGGTGGTCCATGTTCTGCTCGAATCTTCAATCCTTCAAGATTCCGGGAGGTTTTTGCGACATCGAAATATCAATTGGCCGGTGCCCAAAAATATGGAAGCCACCTGGGATGGGATAAAAATCCATAATGGAAAATGACCACATCTGCAAGGAAGAAAGAGGTTGTTGTGGAAGACTGACGAAAACCCGGATGCTTGGGGAATTGGTTGCAACGAACTACCAGACTATGATAAGACATTGTCACCATATTTGGGGCCCCGGGAGGCCCCGGGCCCTTCCAAACATGCCTTCCCTCTCGTTAAATGTTCGCCGGGAACTTGAGTCGATTTATTCCCTGGGATGACGACACGTCCAGGTACAGAGTCACAAGCACTGAGAAAGTAGCGCGGTTGCTTCATCAAGGACTCCTTGAAAAGGTTGCAAGAAGTCCAAGCACACATGGTGCATATACCAAAGATCCATCAACCCCTCAATGTAGAGTCGAGTAATTACAGCAGGCTATGTCCAGTGGGGATATAAAATATTAGTGTGAGTATGAGATATCTTATTGCAGGCGCCTACTAGAAGCAAGGCAAAGGCATATTTTAATTCATTCATGGCCCACTTTGCTTTGAGACGTCCTAAACTCCTGAATGCCCTTTCCTGCAGTCGTGATGAGGTCATGCCTTCATTCATGCACTCACCCCAAATTCAGAAAATTGCACGAGCGAATGTACGATCATTTCTACGCTGTGAGTCTTATATATATATATATAGAAAGGACAACCATAATCCCTATATATATGTGTGTATATATATACATATATTTACATATATATATATACATATATATATATACACATATATATATATATATGTTTATACATATAAATATATACATAGATATACATATATAACAGTATATACGTATTTATACATATATATATATATACATATACATATTTATATATATACATATACATATTTATATATATATATACATATACATGTTTTTAAATATATAGATTGATAGATTGACATGCAAGAATTGAGTTTTGAGCGGTGACCGACATGCCGATATCCATCGCCCTTTTCCAAATCACACCACAACAAACGAAATGTATCTGCAATCCCCAGGACCATAGTCTATTCTGACATGTGCGTTGGCTTGTTACTAAAAAATACTAAAACACCCACTGTTGGAATTTGTGATTTGTGTAGGAACGTTAGAGAGTTGAGCTTGTCGACGTCTGGAATATCCTAAGTCACCTGGAGGATTGATGCAGCAAAATTGATGAAACTGGTCGAACTGGAGGATTGATGCAGCAAAATTGATCAAACTGGTCAAACTGGAGGATTGATGCAGCAAAATTGATCAAACTGGAACAGCTCGGTCAACAGTTCAAACCAAAGTGCAGGTACGTTTGCACGACATCATGGATGGGTCTTCGTTGGCCCGCGCCATCCATGAGCCCACGGGCCCCCTGCGAATGTCAAAATGACCAATCGAACAACTGACCGTTTGTTATAACGGTTTTCACACACACACCGGCCCCTCAGGGCAAACTTTTCTACGAGACCTAGCGAAACATCCGAGTGTGAGACATGAAACAGCAACATTGGGCTAGAAATTAGATGCTAGAAATTAGATGTAGACATGAAATTCAGCTGGTGCTATGAAATGCAAAGACTGAGCAGCTGTCCAACTGTCAAGTGTTCAGAGTGAGGCAGTTTACTCACGTTTGTTATGGTAAACTGTTTCATTCGAGTTTGTTCGTTTGTGTGTTTGTTCGGTTCACATCCTGAAACTACCACGGCTGAAGCAACTGAAGCTGAGGTTGAGGCCATAGTTAAGTGTTTCTTCTGCTCATGTTACACTCTAAGTGTAAACTGCTCCGACGGAAGTCCACTTCTGTCCACTAAGGGACTGCTACGGCCCAGCTAAAGGGGCTACTCCGCCATATGGCTACTTCATATTCGTGAGTTTTCTAAAAACTACTTGCTCCGTTCTGGTAAACAGCCCAGCTACATTCGAGATGTAGACAGCTCCGAAGATAGAATCTTCACTCTTGATACGGGAAAATGCCCGCTCATGACTTTATGCTCAGTCGAAACCGAGTCACGATGCAACCAACTGAGGTTAAGCACCGGGAACACACTGTGGGAATTTGTGATTTGTGTCGGAACGTTAGAGAGTTGAGCTTGTCGACGCCTGGAATATCCTAAGTCACCTGGAGGATTGATGCAACAAAATTGATCAAACTGGTCAAACTGGAGGATTGATGCAGCAAAATTGATCAAACTGGAACAGCTTGGTCAACAATTCAAACCAAGTGCAGGTACGTTTGCACGACATCATGGATGGGTCTTCGTTGGCCCGCGCCATCCATGAGCCCACGGGCCCCCTGCGAATGTCAAAATGACCAATCGAACAACTGACCGTTTGTTATAACGGTTTTCACACACACATACATATGAACATTAATAGGTAAGATAACTATATATAGCCTATAACTATATATATGCATACGATTATATACGTATGTGTATATATATATATATCACATTGAGTACAACCCAAAATGGCATTTCTAAGAGGGGAAATGATGTTCAATAACATTGGATTTGAGGTCACACCTAATTACTGTACCCCATATGTTGGGCCCATGAATTCCAGCACCAAGGTTCTGCACCTGCCAGGGGCCCTGCCGAAGGTGTACCTGGAACCATGCCAGCCAAGAGTAGAGACCTTGGCATCCGGAGATGCGAAATATCGTGATCCGCTCAGATACCTTGGAGGAAAACAAACAGCTTTTAACTTAAATAACCAGATATACTTTAGAACCGTGTTTGGTCTATTTACCTGTGGGCATTTTGACCACACAGGGCATGTTTAGAACCTGATCATAATTTCTTGGAACCTATTATAATTATAGCCCATATTAGCCAAAATCTGCCAAAATCCAGCCGGACACTGCAGATTTGCCCACACAGCAATCTATCAACTGTACTGCTGGGTGTGAGTTGGTTTTTCAAAAGGCAAACCAAACTTCGTGGCCTTGATGTTGGACCCGGTGGTACATGTATTTCTTCTTTCCAAGCGCATTGTATGAAACTGGGATTTGGTGGAACACTGTGTGTTTGCTTCAGTTATCCCAGTAGGATACCTTGCATGGGTTCATAAGTGGGAATGCGAATCAAGTTGAATTAAATGCTAAATTCAGGGCAGTAAACAATAACATCGTGAATCTGAAAGAAGCTTAAGGTACATTTTTTTCATATGTTTCCTATGTGCCACCAAACATCGGCCACATACTGAATATCATCATTTACGGCATACCGTCATATATGCACTTATGCCGTGAGCTGTTTGCCATAAAACTATGTGGATAGAGTGGTGTTGCGAATTGCAGAATTACTATGCTTACATGAAATGGTATGAACCAGCATACTGCATACCGTCAAAACAGTATGATGGGAGGCTGTGCTGCATGAATATGTATAATCATACTTTTTAGTGAAGCAGATTCAGATAGGCAGCAAATAGGCGCTGAAAACTAGTGATAGGTTTGTTTTGATAACAATTTGTTATGTTCTTTATTGCAAGAGGATCCATGAGAACTTGACTGTCGAATATTCCGTGATATGCGATGATAAAACTTGTCGATTAATGAACGTGTTAAGTGCATAACCTACTAGTACAAGCAGCTTCACACGTTAAACCCCCAAAGAAAAAATAGTGGCATCTCCATCACTCATTTCAATATACTTAAAGACAAGCCACAACTAAGTTTCAAGTTCACTGTTTCATTTAAACACTTCCAGCCTTTGACTTACACTTGCACCGTATTCAACAGTTGATATCATATATATATATATATAACTTTCAGATGTTTGACCATGAATTTGTATTGCAGTTTGTACCTAAACTGGTGAGTTTTAACCTGCAAATACTTACAGTTTACGACTTAGAGCCTTGGTATTTTAAGCAACCTCGAAGCCTTTGCCATCTTACCATAATGTTAAAAATTATGCGTGTTTTCAAGACTCGTAGGGACGGTTTCGACGGTTTCTACCTGTTTCCAACAAATACAGGTGGAAACGGTTTCAACGGTCTCAACCTATTATGTTATAAACAGCTTCCAGAAACGGTTTGAAACGGTTTGAAACGGTTTGAATCTGTTTCGTTTTTGGGGCATAATAGCGCTGTGCGGAAGAAACGGTTTCCATCCGTTTTGGGCCCAAATAGGTGGAAACGGTTTCAACGGTTCCTACCTGTTTGGCTTTCAACCTCATGAAATGATTGCCTGTTTTAACATGAACGAGAAAATCAAACATAGACAACATAGGGTCCCATAGAAATCATAAAGTCTAGACATGTTGGCATAATCCGGAGGTCAATACTTGAAGTACCAAAGTTTGAAGTGTCAACACGGTTCAAAATAATTTCCGGCCTTACTTAAACTTCTGGGGGAAATTAAGGGGGTTTGAAGAGACATCTTGGGATGTCCTGGCAGTTGCGTATTGCTCGGCCCGGCTTGCGTGTTCAAATGGATTTGACTAGAACACTGTTGATTTGCTATCGGGACATTGCACTCAGCCCTGACTGTCCTGTGGGAAAAAAACGTAAACAATGGAAGAAAGTTGAGCCCTGAAATGGCCTACGGATGGTGCCAGAAACCGTTTCTACCGTTTCTACCTGCCAGAAACTGTTTCTACCTGTAATTTCACCAAAAAAAAAGTTTAGAAACTATTTCTCAAATCTTAGAACCTGAATTCAAAAAACGACTTCGGCTACGGGGCATGGGGGTGGAGTCCAGGGCCAGCAGGGAAACATCCAACGTAGAAGGCCATTCTACCACATTGTCTATTCCGGTGAAACGGTGAAGACTTGCCAGAAGCAGTGGAAGTATTGCATCATGCAAGGAAAATCTGCAGGATTCATCAAACCAGCCCATGTCCGCAAGATGTACAGTCGAAGTCATGTATCATGAACCATACAGCATTTAAGTAAAGGTATTACACCGCTACGTGCTTTTGCTTTGACATCATGATACAAGGCACATACCTGACTTGTGACATGTTAAAGCATAGACGTTGGAACGGTCTTAAGCCATGAATCATTAATCAAAATCCACAAATAGTATAGTATAGTTAATACTTGTTAATACATGATAGTGACAATTATGATACAATGATACAATGGTAACTGCTGGCTAACTTGCTAGTAGCTGCTAGGTAACAACTGATCTACGACTCTCTACTGTACTGCCCCACCTGCTGAAGCAATGCAGCGTGCTTCTTCAATCCACCTACGGAACCCTCTTGTCCCTTGCAAAAATGTTTCAAGGAAAAAAATCTGAACCTTCGGTTTCATGAATTGAGCCCATCATTTGCAGATACAGTGACAGTGATATGATCATCGAATCATACGTTGTAACAAAAGCACACGACAAAGCATGCGTAGCTACAACGCACTAAGCGCACTAACAGTCATCAGCGCGCAGTCGTGCATTGTAACTGCGGCCCAGTGAAATTTGGAAAAGATGGTAGCATGACAAGGGACTGCACCAATCATGTTCTCTGCTATCGTATGCTACAGCCGTGTTTTTTTCACAACCAAACATCAAATATGTCATATGTTGTTTAAATGATCAATAGGACCATGTGATAGCAAGAGCAAGAAAAGACATTCTTGACTTATACACTCACTCATGGATTGCCTGGATGGTAGCCCATACCTGACATGGAGCATGCATAAAATTTGAGAGCACAAAGCATACTTCTGCATACTTTCATCATGAACATCATTTATCTACCCCCACCCCAAAAAAAAAAAACTGATTTAAAAGTCATACATGATGTATGTGATATACAATTTTTCACACGCATATCCAATCGCGTGCGCAGATGGTGCAATTTTTGTCTCATTGTACGTATAGATCCTTGTATGCAAGAACTTATTCTGTCAGTGGGTTTCCACTGATCAAGCATATGCGTGTACGTACATATGCATGGAAGGAGGCTGTTTTCATCCAACGCTGCGGCGTGGCACATCGCTTTTGTGTAGTGTCAATGTCTTACTGGAAGGCTGCTGCAAAAACTTCATTGACTGTGGTTGTGCCAAAATACAGTGGGTATGATGCATGTCCGGACAAGGAGGGATCTTGAAGGCAAAAGGTTTGGATATTGAGCAATCATGTTTATGCTGTTGAGACGTAGTCTGAAAAACATCAAATCATGTACAACACGTGCGACAAATATGCAGCAATAAGTTGTAAGACCCAATTGTATGACACCTTGTTCAAAACAAGAACTGTTTGAGGCAGAAACAAATGATAATTTGTTTAGAAGCAAATTGAATAGATTCTAAGAACTATACGATAGGTTCTAAGAATTATATAAAAAGTTCTAAACCAGCATTTCTATACGTCAGGATCCCTGATTTAAATAGAGCAGACTTGATTCTAAACTATATGTAATAAAAAGACCCAGATTTATAGACAACAGGTTCTAAGAATTTTACAGCAGGTTCTAAGAATCCTTTAATAGGTTCTAAGGCACCATTTTGATACGTCAGGATCCCTGATTTAAATAGACCAGACCCGGATCTAAGATATACTAGATATGTTTTAAACATCTATCTTCGCATGACGATCAAAGTTGCAGGCCTTGCCTAGATGACACGAGTGATTCCAAACATTGCCACAAATCATGGGATCACCAGGCAGTTCCAGTTGGCATGTTCAGCCAGTGAGCTTCATGAATCTTCACCAAATCCTGAAAAATCACGTGGTGCAATGCCACATCGGCCATCGGCCACTAAGAGACAAACATGTTCGGCATCTTCAGCGATGTCTTCAGCGAGGTGTTTCTGTTTTATTCGTTCAGAGTTTGACCAGCTGCATCCGCTGAACTGTGGAAAACCCGACAAGTTCATTGAGATTCCTTTATGATGATCACCTATCCGGCCTATGCAGGAAAATCCACATCAACGCGCAATTGTGGCGCACCAAATTCCCCGAAGGTGAAGAGAATGGTTGTATTCCGGTTTTGCTTGGTAAAATGCTGGTCAAATCCCAGCTCGGCTGGGCTATTCAATATTGTTCCTCAGTTGGGCTAGTTTAGCCACAGTCCAATTCCGCTTTAAGACTTTGGTCTGCTACCATCTAAAATCCGCACTTTCCGTTTGGTGGAAGTCACCATTCTGGTGGAAGTCACCATTCTTGTCAGTTTCCACATGTTTATTCACACTTCACCTTCGGAAAAAAAAAACAACCAGTCAACAAAAAGCATCCAAAAATCCACAAAATCAACACCTTCGAGATATTTTGAGATGTAAAAGATCCATTTTCCACCATTTTATCATATTTTATCCATCACAATTCCGAGAAATGCACCGTTTTTCGCTGTAAAAATGGTGCGATCCAAGGGACAGGACCTCCAGCAGGCCCCTGACCTTGGCATCTGGATGGCTGTGAAGCTCCTCCAGCTCCTTGCGTATGCTGCAGAGGTAGGTAGATAGATAGATAGATAGATAGAGAGAGATAGATAGATAGATAGATAGGTAGATAGATAGATTAATAGATTAGATAGGTAGATTGATTGATTGATAGATTAGATAGAAAGACGCATAGGATAGGATAGGAAAGGATAGGATAGGAAAGGATAGGAAAGGATAGGGCTTATGTATTGTTGACCTATATATATATTATATAAATAGAGAAATAGAGAGAGAGAGAATCCTATAGATAGATATCATTTTTGAAGCACACCTGTATTACCGAATGTTGCATTGCCATGCTGTATTACCCTGCTGTTCCAACGGAGCCCAGTTTTTGATAGATAGATAGATAGATAGCTAGCTAGCTAGGTAGGTAGGTAGATAGGTAGTAGTAGAAATAGGTAGAAATAGTAAGAAATTGGCAGAAATAGGTAGAAACAGGTAGAAATAGGTAGAAATAGGTAGACATAGGTAGAAATAGGTAGACATAGGTAGAAATAGATAGAGATAGAGATAGAGATAGAGATAGATAGATAGATAGGTAGATAGATAGGTAGATAGATAGATTAAATAAAAAGAAAAAATGTACTGATATAGGTATAGGTATAGTTTTTAGATATTAAACTAAACTATTAGATATAGATATAGATATAGATATAGACACGCACACGCACATATATATATATATTTATTTATTTATATATGTACAGAATGTCAATTTAAATATATATATATATGTATTTTATATATATACATATATAGATATATAAATAGATATCACATTCTTGAAGCACACCTGTATTACCGAATGTTGCATTGCCATGTATTACCATGTTGTAATACCCTGCTGTTTCAACGGAACCCACTTTTTCGGATTCGTTCACGCAAAGGACACAAAAACGTGTCTGGGACCCACCACCCAATAGACTCACATTTCAGTTGGAAAAGACATAATTTCTGGTTGATAAATGGTAATATAATCACCATCTTATGGATAAAAGGTGATTAAATCATATTAAATCTCTAGAATGATCTTAGATATTTCATGATATTCCTAGATATTTTTGGATATGTCTAGATATGTTTAAATATTTCTAGACGCTAAACTTCAATTTTCTCCCAATTTCTCCCGAAGTTCGACTTTCTCCTCCTCCTTCAGCGCCTTCAAGGCATCTCGTGCCTCCTCAGCCAGTGCGCGAGAGCTGAGCCGTGTCAGCGAGGGTGGACCTCGGCCAACGGCCACAAATCATGTGACGAATGTGAGGGATCCATTTCAAAAAACAATACCATCTGGTTATGACTAACATAGCCATGGAAAGATCAACCATTTAATAGGTAAACCATCTATAAATGGGCCATCTATACCATGGCGAACTGTTAAATAACCAGAGGGTAAATGCCATGGAAAATCCATGAAAATCTGCTATAAATGTAGGAATATGGCGGAGTTCTAGTTGGGACAATGATCTATTAGTGGATTTGCCATGGCCACGCTTGATTGCCGGAGCATTTTTATGTAATTTTTATGATGCGAATCAGTCATAGCTGATAGTCAATTGAGTCAATTGACATAGAAACAAACCATAATGATCAGAATAGGTATGAAGAATCATGAATAATGATACAGTAATGATTCAGTAATGATCATGATAATAAAATTAACAATCCCCAACTTTCAACCATTTAAGGATCAATGGAGGCTACAACTCATCTCACTCGTGGATCCCGTCGCCCAAGAGCGTATCTCCGCTTCTAAAAGAATTTGTTGTCTACACTTGAAGGCATTTCACCGATGCCTCGCATGGTAAACTTTAATCCACCAACTTGCCAACAGAAGGTCGAGTGCACAACCACCAAGAAAAGCGAGCGTTTGCTGGGAAAAAGAGTGGGATTGAACAAAGCAAAGCAAAGATCAGGTTTCAAACCGGAAAAATGACGTAAGCAAGAGGAAAATATCCGGCAAGTGGGTGCATATGTTGCCTATACACGTCTTATCTATAGTGTAAACCGCTCTCCGGTGAGTTTTTGCCAGCAAGAATGAATAGTTCAACCAAACATGGGGGATGAATGGGGATGATTTGACTTAAAATAAAGTGAATAAAGTGAATAAAGTGAATAAACCAATAATACCTTCAGTTATTCGCCAATCCGCAAGCAGTCAACACAAGAATCATCTTTGTATGCAGATGTTTGGTATTGATACCTCTTAACTTCACTAAGCAGCGTTGCCGGGGGGATGACTTAAAGACTTACAGCCAACAAAACACCATAAGTTGGGTCCTCAGTGACCTCAGTGACAACACCATGATCAGCAACTAGCAACTACCATCATGAGGACCATCCAGTCTCGGAAATGGAATAACCATTCCACACCATTCCCAAATCCGAAGTACTGTAGTAACTGCAGTATGCACATTTAAGAAGTCTTGGGGTGATTCCCCCTTACTATCCTCTGCAGTGAGGGCCAGCTTGTTTGCCATCCCTCCAAAACAAAGCGCGAAAAAAAACATCAACCCTAAGATGTAAAAGTGGAATTAATCCCTGATTGGTTCTTACTATCATTCTTATTACTACACACAACCACTTCCTCCAACATTGCAGTCAACTGTCATTCCCACATGGAACTACGCCCCCCAACTGCCGGGAAAAGTCACCCCAGCGTCTTCGCCCATTGTAAACGCAGCACGAACATGTAAAAAAAAACAAACAACGACAATCCCATGAAAATTAGTAACACAATGGTATAATCAAAGCACCATGTGAACGCATGATTCATGTCTGTTTTGGTAAGATATCGCTTTGGTTCTAAAACGTATCTGATCCCAATGTTCAAAGCAACATAAACGTCCAAAAGGTATGACTCGGCGAGTTGAAAGCACAATGTGAACACATGAATCATACATGTTTTTGGAAGGGAATTTCCGTTTGATTTGCCGAAGCACCCGAAGACGCGCAACAGCTTCCCAATTTCTGCAGCCAATTTATCTGGCCAAAGTGATCTCTTCTTATTCTTTTTCAAACAAAGCATCGAATTCCCCAGCTGGCTCTGCCTCAACCAACCTGTCTAATATAATCACAATAGAACTGAACCCCTCAGGTGGGTTTTAAATCACGGATTCCGAACGAGCCCAAAACGAGGCCCGAACGAGGTCAAAAAATAGTTTTGGAATCCCCCGGTTTCAAAAATAACAATTTCACTATAACACATATTACAAGGAATCTAGAGGATGCGGCTTCTACAGTCGGAAGTTTGAGCCACAAGCGGAGCAGCAGCCTGCAACAGTCAAGCAGCAGTCCAACAACAGCAGCCCGGCAGCCCGATGCGCAGTGGAGGCAGAAAATGTCTATTATTAAATGATTAATATGATTAATTACATATTTACCATTGGTTTTTCCCATTGCGGTAAAAAAACTCCGAGGAACCCATCTGTGGCCTCTCCACTTCCGCCGCGCCAGGCTCCTGCGCTCCTTCGGCCTCCAAAATGCCCACGGCACGGCGCAGCAGCTGCTTCTCCGTCGAGGGTCGCTGCGCGTACAGCCAGGACCTAACGAAGCTGGGAGATTGGCAAAACGCCAAGCCCGGGCTTGAAATCAAACATGACTGATGCTAACTGGGAAATCACCATGGGCATTTAACATATTTTAAAATTGAAAATCATCAAAAAATTGGTGAAATCATCAGTGGCCATTCAAACGGGAACAGGAGATCTTCCGTTGCCATTTTTGATTACCGGAATGTAAAAAAAATAAAAGTTCAAGATAATTTCACCTGAAGAGGCGGAAGATGGCCAAGCAGAGCATCTTCTCGGAAGAAAACCATGTGACACAAACATTGTCAAAAACATTCGTAAAACAACATTTTTGGGGTGTCTGTGACTAGTTTATAAGGTGCAGTTGATCCTGCTCTTCTGGGTGCCTTTCAGGATCTTCCAGGTAACTAGGGCCTTAGGGGTTGGTTTATCTTGCTGATCCTTGATGATTTGGGTTGCGTACCTTAGGGGCAAGGGTGATTGGAAGGTCACCATATTAAATTATTATGGAATGGCTAGCCGAACAAAATTTGACATTGAACTTGTGCCAAAAGATGCGAAAAGGATTGATGTATGCATATACAAAACTATACAATTTAATTGAATATATTGGATATAGTATATCCCTATATAGTAAAGGAAAAAATAATCTAACGTATTATATTAAAACATACTGTAACATTAAAAACAACATTATATAACATATATTATATTTATTAATATTACATTATATACATTAAATATTTCGTATATTATATTTCAAAAACATATTATATTCCAGATTGTGTATTATACAAAACAAAAAATATTACACGTTGAATCTTCAATATAAATAGTAACATATATTAATAAACAATATATCATGTGTATTTACATTATACTATATATATATACATGTATTACATGAATATGTCATCTCCGAGTGAATAATTAGTAAATTTTAACAACATTCTCTGTCCACCTCTGTTTAAATTCAGCTGTGCAGCAGGAACTCCTCAAAATTTACGAGGCCGTCCTGCGGTCATGGTGCATGCACCCTCTATCTGAGGTTTTTTACTTCGTTGGTTGTAAGGAATTCCCATGGATTCTTGCTAAAATCCCGGAAAATAAAAATCCTACCATTATTTATCAATGATCATTGTAAAATTAAAAATATTCTCTCATAAACTATGATATATATCCATACTTTTGATGGTTAAACGGTTCAACACCCTATAAATCAAGGTTGAATCCCGACTAAATAACAAACCGAGTGGTTTACATTCCCCGAATCCAATTCCCATCATTCCAGTGGCGTCACGGCGTGTTACCACCTCATGTTACCTCCATTTTTCTTGGTTAAATCATGTTAAATCCTGTCAAATCGTCTCAAATCATCTTACGATCTTAAATCATATTAGATCAACATGTTTCCCACATTTTCCCATGCTTTTTGGCACTGAGGTGGTGCTGTCCTTGTTGGCATCCATCTGCTGCAGCACCTCTTCGATCATCTCATCGCTCAGCGCGGAGCCCACGTCGCGGATGGAGCGCAGCACGAAGCGCAGCTCCGCAAAGTCGATGACGCCATCCCCGTTGAGGTCGAAGCCTCGAGACCATGGGAAAGAGAGGGATGTTGATGCTGATCAATCATAATATAAATATATATATATATATCATATATCTATCTATCCATCTATCTATCTATCTATCGATCTATCTATCTATCTATCTCTATCCCTATCTATGTCTATATCTATCCATCGCTATCTCTGTCCATCTCTATCTCTATCTATCTATCTATCTATCTATCTATCTATCTATCTATCTATCTATCTATCTATCTATCTATCTATCTATCTCTACCTGTCTCCATCTATCTATCCATCTATCTATCCATCTATCTATCTATCCATCTTTCTATCTGTCTATCCATCTATCTGTCTATCTATCTATCCATCTAGCTATCTATCTATCTATCCATCTATCTATCTATCTCTCTATCCATCTATCTATCTATCCATCTTTCTATCTATCTATCTATCCATCTATCTATCTATCTATCCATCTATCTATCTATCCATCTATCCATCTATCCATCTATCCATCTATCCATCTATCCATCTATCCATCTATCCATCTATCCATCTATCCATCTATCCATCTATCGATCTATCGATCTATCGATCTATCGATCTATCTATCTATCTATCTGTGCGTGTGATTAATATCATCATACATATATTACCGAAGGAAGTTTACTCAATGGACCCTCCGGCAGTGAAATGATGGACAATCCATCATTTAGTTCGGTGATTTCCCTATAAGAACATTCTTTTACAATCATTTAGTTCCGGGATTTGCTAGCTAGCCATGTTTGATTACCGAAGGGCAACGCGTACAATTAAAATGGATGTAAATTCTACACTGGTTGGTGGTTTCAATCCCTCGAAGATAATTACTCATTGGTTATTGAGTATCATCCTCCAAAATTTATATATAGGGGTGAAAATAAACAACCCTTTGAAACGATCGACCAGTTTCATTGGTCGATAGCCAATCATATCCCCAGAAAATTCGTGAAATTCGCAGTTATCCAGTTGTGTATGGTTACACTCCACCCAGTGTCTTCTTTCTTGGTGGAGAAGGGGCAGCTGCAGCTTTCGCACCCGTCGGCAGCTCCTCACCCTCTAAGGAAGTGTACAAAGTGGCTGCCACACGCAACAGTGAACGACTGCTCTCCGGAAGGACCGTCATCTGACCCTGGGCTAGGGGAAACCCAGTCATTTTCTCCAAAAAAAACGCCGTGAAGCTATCTGCACCTACAAAAATGATATTATTCACCGTTTAAAGGTCTTTAAACATCCTTAAAAGATACTGTATTTTTGGGTGGTACCCCAAGGAAGATGACATAAGGACTTGTAGCATATGGTCAGATCGTCATCATCTTTAAGCCTGAAGGGGCCGTGCTGATTGAAGTAATTCTGGTACATCAGCGGTTGACTCTCTTATACAACTGTGCAAACACATAGCCTGGGATTTGCACACGGATAGAAATAAATAGATAAATGTAATATATAAATATATAAATATAGATATATATATATATACATATGGTGGGTCCTAAAATGGGGATCCCCAAAACCATAGGTTTCAAATGGTTTCAATAATTAAATGGTGGTAAATGTTGGATCATTTGGGGGTACCTCAAATTTAGGAAACCTCCAAATAATATATATAATATATATATATATATAATTAGGTCATTCAAAGCAGGTCTCCACCCAAACCCAACCAGGTCTCCACATGTTCATCTTTGGAGCAGCCATTTTGCTCATTAGTTTACCCTAACCTATTAGGCATTGGTCAAAGGAAATGTTATAGCAAGGGGCCACAAACAACATCAGAGGTTAAGATCAAAAATCATCATGGTACATCTAACTTTTATGGAGTTGTCATTTTACTTTTTTGATCACTGAGCTATGTGCTCTGCTGTGCTGTGGTTTTCCCTGGTGCATTGTGCCAGCAAGCACAACTTTTTTCAAGCATCTCGGCTTCAGGGGGTCATGCCCCTGGGTTCAATTTGGGCACAGGCAAACCCAAAATCACACCTCAGATTCTTCAAGTTTTTTAAGGTGACCTCAAACTTTTACATTGAACTATGAGTTTGCCTCAGGGGGCATTTCTGTTGATGCCAGTATAGAATCCTAGAGTCCCAAGCGGTCAACTTCCTCTTTGGCCATTTTTTTGGCAAGTTCACGGTCTTTATGCTTCGAGTACACTTGCCTGTACACCCGGCTGTAGACACGGTTCCGTGTTGCAGGCTTGTAGCCATCCTTAGATTGTTCTGCACACAGAAGTATTGTATCAGTGGGAGATCAGCATATTATTAATTCCAATTTCCTAAAATTTATTGGGCCATGGGGTCCTAAATATATCATCCAAAATTGCTCAAAGTCCTTTGATATGGCTTGAAAGTTGAAACCATGCAGAAAAGAAGGGCCAAGTAGCCGATCCCTTCTCCTCATTCTCTTCTTCTTTCTTGCCCTTGTCTGCATTTTTCTTCGGACTTGTTTTTTTCTTCGGGGCTGCCTTCGCCTTTCCTTTTGGAACTGCTTTTGCTCGGGCATATGTCGTTGCCTTCACCTGCTTGCCAACCACTTTTGTCTTCGGACTTGCTTTCGGCTTTGCTTTCGACTTTGCTTTGGACTTAGAGGCTGTTTTCGGATTCTTTTGGGAAGTGGGTGCCTTTGCTTCTGGAGTCTGCACTTCAAGTCTCTGCCCACGCTCCTCAAGATTTACCAGGGTTTTAAAATTTAAAACCATTAAACATTGCAAAGAAACCTATACAACATTTTCTACTTGTGAGGGCAACATAGCTGCTGGAACTTCCTGTCATACAAACATGTTTATATGGCTTGCATACACAAGAAAAAACAATAATATTAATCTTTTGGAACTTCAGTCCTCAGAACTGCCATGCGAGACCATGTCAGGTTCTTGATGTCCACCAAGATCCTTTGTAGCATCAGCAGGCAGAGGTTCCTGTCCAGCTGGGGCTAGCTCCTGCAGTTTTTGTTTGCAAAATGGAAAGCCTGCCTTCTAAACAATTCTGAAAAAAATGTTTTGTCTACAACAATGGTGTCCTCGTCCCTCATGCCACCTTCTTCAAGTCGGAGGGTCTTTTGGGAGTCCGGGGAGTCAAACACAGTCTTTTCTGTCGCTGGGGAGATCATCTCGAAGTCAGAGCTAGTGAACAGGGTGCCATTTGCAAACTTTTCCTGGGTCTCAAAAGCTTCTTGTACTTCATCATGCCCTATGGAGTCAGCAGTTGCAGTGGTGATGTAAGAATCAATGAGCTTGCCCAGCTTGTCCACAGTCTCCTCCCCCATGTTTGGAATGAATGTTTCCTATCTAATTTTAACCACTATGTGCCAAGTCACCCAAATAAAATAATTACATTTAAGTGCTCCAACTATCTATCCCATGTCACCCCTGTCCTTTTTTGGATACCTGGTCTTCTCTGCCTTTGAGCCATCATGATCTGATGGCTCACCCAAGCTGCCGGCAACATCCAACGTCTTGGAGGCCACCTGCCAATGAGTGACAATATTAAGTCGAAAAGATTTCACATGATGTTGATGCATAAACAAACAAAGCAGTAGTAGGGTCAGTAGTCACAAATAAAAAAGCTGTGACCAAGTCGAACAAATGAGCTGCTGCACTGCTAGTTTCTGGCACTGCTGTGTCCACAAAGCTGTGGGAACGCTGAAGCCCCTTGCCACCCTTCTCATCCTCAAAGCACTTTGTGCCAACCTTCTCATCATTGAAGCCCTTTGAGCCACCCTTCTCACCCTCAACGCCCTTTGTGCCAACCTTCTCATCATTGAAGCCCTTTGAGCCACCCTTCTCACCCTCAACGCCCTTTGTGCCAACCTTCTCATCCTTGAAGCCCTTTGAGCGACCCTTGTCACCCTCAACACCCTTCGAGCTAACCTTCTCATCCTCAACGCCCTTCGAGCTAACCTTCTCATCCTCAAAGCCCTTTGGGCCAACCTTCTCATCCTTGAAGCCCTTTGGGCCAACCTTCTCATCCTTGAAGCCCTTTGGGCCAACCTTCTCATCCTCAGAGCCCTTTGGGCCACCCTTGTCATCCTTAAAGGTCTTTGAGCCAACCTCATCATCATCTGAGACAACAGCAGCATCCTCTGAATCACCATGCTTGCGCTTTCCACCACTGTGCTTCTTCTTGCGGGGTTCCTTCTCGGTCTTATCCTGGACACACAAATCACCAACAGTTCCAGTGAAACATGTACCAACAGAGGCACACAACAACAAGCATTCCAAGAGTAAAAAGCACAACTTGAAAAGCTACAAAAGGTCCACTGGGCTTTTTTGACATACATAAAACACATCAGATATTGGCAAATTGTGGCACTCCTGCTTCTTCTTGTGTTGCTTTCCATCTCCATCATCCTTCTTGCGTCTTTTGCTTTTTTTTTATCACCTCCACCTTCACCTTCATCTGCATCAGGATCACTATGGTCATCACCATCGCCTCTTTGAAAGTCGTCGAACATACCATCAAACTCGTCTTTCTTGAACTTTTTTGCTGCAGGCCTCTTCAAAGTCTTTGGGGGGTCTTCATCATCATTCGTTTCATTTTTTGGTGTCTTTCCCCTGGGTTTTTTGATTTTGGGCTCATCACTTTCATCCCTTGGTTCTTTTCCTAACTTCTTTTCTTCAGATGCCCTCTCATCTGAAGAACTTGCCAGCTCACAGCGCTGAAGCAAAGACGGTGCTGCACCTGTGGCAAGTTTGGGGTCCCATTTCTGTTTTCCAAAAGTTTCAAGTTGAAAACCAGCTTTGCAAAAAGCTTTGCAAAAAAGAAAAATAGCACAGCTATGATAAAAAGCTAGGCACGGCTGGAAGCAGGTTTGGCTGAAGCCTTTGGTGTAGTCTGTGAGGAAGAAGCCTTTGGCACCACACTCAATAGGCTCTGGTAGCTCTCAAGTTCAAACCGAGGTGTAACTGTAGCACACCCCTGGTAGCCAACCCCCAAGGTCCGGGATGGTGTCCCCATGACACCACAAAGCAGGGCTAAGATCCTTTTGGTGTTGGATTTCTTGAGCCCATGAATGCAAAGGGTGCATCTTAAAATTGGTGGGCTCATGTCCACCTGATATTCATAGAAGAGTGGGTTTCCAACAATGCAGGGTACCCCAAAATAGATAGTACAGTTCATTGTCTCAGTGAAAATCCCACCAAAAAAGAATATATTTTAGGGTACCTCCATTTTAGGAAATTTCCATATAAACATCAACAATTTGACAATGTATAGACACTGGTATGTTAAGGATATGATCTGCAAATTGTAAGTTTTCCACATATATTGCTAAATCACTAGATGGTAACAGCCAAGGGTCTATGACTACCAATCAGCGCACCAAGATGCAATCTATTGCAACCACGAAGATTGATGGTTTCGTGAAACCATGGGGCAGTTTTACCCCCAAACCAGCCAAGCATTCATTCCTTGGCACCCCAAATGCACTGCTTGCAGTGCAAAACACTACACTAATGGCCTCAACCATGACCGGTGTTGTCACCAGTTTTCATCCAAAAAGCTTTGCCTGAAGCTATCCCACAAATCATTTTAAGACGCGACTGCCTCAAAAGTTGGCTGCTAAATATGCTGAATGATTGTAGTTTAGATGTTCAAAATTCAATATGTTTCGAACATTGGGATCCTTCAGTTTCCAGGCCACCAACTAAAAGAGTTGATACATCTCATCCATCTTCCCCTCAAAGGTGTGGACCAACATTGCCACAGGTCGAATCGGCACCAAATCCTTGCCACTTCCGCTTTGGTCTGGCTGAAGCCTGGCATCCATGGAGGGCAAAGTGGAGCAAAGTGGCATCAGGTTTTTGATGATCACAAAACACAACCCCATGAAAAAATGAATCATGTTTTTGATGATCAAAACATCAAATTGGCAGAAATAACCTCACTGTAGTTCACTGTTGGATGTGTTGGTTTTGTGGGCTAAGAGGTTTGTTTACTATTTGCCAAATGATCAGTGTAAATTGAAATATTTGAAATATGCTATGATCGGCTGTTTGGTTGATTTGGGGTCCCATATTTTTTTCAGCAGCCAAAGGCCTCAACCGCCATGAGATTTTCAGATTCTCAGAGGTGCGTAGCTTTGTCAGCATAAGCTTGGCACCAAATGTCATAGCTGAGCAAGATGCCTAGGAACTGAGCTGCTTAAAGAAAAATGGTTTCAAACATTGTTCAACTTAAAAACATTGTAGAACAAAAACAACAATGATGCAAGAATATGGAAGATTATGGGGTTCACAGGTTGGCTCAGAAGAAACAAAAATAGAGAGGATGATGAAAGATGTGGTTGAACCCTTGAGCCCACCTTCTTTCTCTTGCTTTCCTTGGGCTGGTCGAGGACAAAGCACACTTTCTTCTGCGAGGTAAATGTGATGTCATTCGACCCCTCCTGTTTGTCCAGCGAATGCATGGGCAATTTCACATTGACCTCCCCTGCATTTTCCAAATCCTTGATGGCCTCTTTGTAGGTCAGCACCTGCAGTTTACTTCCACCCCCATGTTCTCAGAATGAACAAAAGCAAACTAAAAAAATGGGAACACCTGTAAAACAATGATACCCAGACGTTTGTCAAAAAAAATTGGTGGTCATTTGTACCCAAGCACCTTGCCCCAAATGTCCAATGCCTTTATATGTTGGGGCAGGCGACGGTCAGGTTCCAAGATGCAGAACTCAGAGGCTAGGGCAATTTTGTAGCCAAGCCAACGCCCTGTCACATCGCTTTGCACATCCATTGCTTCAGGACCCTCAACAAAATCACCTGATCCAAAGCCAAACAATTCGATTGGCCCCTTCACCTGGAAGCTTTCCTTCCTGTTGTCATTGCCACAAATCCACAGGGACTCTTGCTGAGAGTCATACACCAAGCGAAAGCCCCCACACGACAGTGCAAGCCTCAGGGAAAAATCAAACCACAGGACCCCATCCTAACCCATGATTTGGTGGCTGGGTACCATGTCATAAGCCTGAACTAACTTAGAAAATATGTTTCAAATAAGATCAAAGGAGCTTGTCAGCAATGTTTGCCTCATGTTCAGCCACTTTGACACTACTATCGATGCGGATCCTCTTGGACTCACTTGTGGCTGCATCGCCTCAATGTTGGAAGCAACCCTTGACACCTACTATCCCCCCAAAAAGAAAGTAAAAACAAACACACATGTCCCAGTCACTGCTGCCCCCTGACGGAGCCGCATCAGATGCTCCACGCTTGATGCCATGTGGATTGTACTTTTTGTTGTGGGCCTCCACCAAGTCAGCCACCTGCAACTGGAATGTGTCAATGCCAGACCAGTAGTCCACCAGGTTCTGCTTGATGGCCAGACCATTTGGCACTGCAACGCAAACTTGGAAGTCTGGCATGGCTACTTCATTGGCACTGTTCTTCAGATCTTGCACCACGCTTTCAAAGCATGGAAACCCTGGCAACTTGAGCGATCCACTTCTGCACATCGAGTAAGCTTTCTGGCCAACCACCGACGCACAATAGGCAGTATCAGTGTGGCTGTGGCATGCAGTTGAGCATGCCCACTTCTTGCCTGGAACCCCAAAAAGCATTGAGGAATAAAACATGCACAAGAACTTTGAGCGACCATCCAATTCCCACAGATGAAACATTACAAACGCCCAGCTCCCACACCCAATTCCCACACAGTCCTCCTGCCAACTGTCCCATGGCATATGATGCTGGCCAGCCATCGAAGCCCAACAGATCAATCACCACATTGGATGTGTCCTCATCCATCGGGCTCAGCAAACCAGATGTGACCTTCTCAACGATGCTCATCCCACCAAGGTGCTGCAGGGTAAAAGCAGTGTGACTTTGAAGCAACAAATCTTGTAAGTTTAACCATTTTAAACCAATTTGGGAAAACATACGTAATCTCTTTAGGCTAGACTGCCTGTTTGAGCTCCTGCACCCGTGTCAAACGGCCATCTGTTGCGAAGCGGCCATTGTTGCGCTCCACCTTCATCATTTCATTCCTAGCATGCAGCTATGTGCTGATAGCATAAATTATTGAAATAGTGCTATGGAATCTGACCCCTTTCTTGAAAGCATCTTGGCCAAAACTGAGCCAGGGAACCTTGGCAGCATGCTCACTGAAGAGACCACGCCACTCTTGTAGAGAGCACTCTTCAAGAAGCAGTTTCCCTTGTCTTTGCTGGTGATCATGAGGGCAGAATGATATCCTTCTCTGGTGCCATAGACAGTCGTGGGCTCGAAGAAGACAGACACTGGGCGGACCTGGGCCAACAAGGATGCTACACAG